CCGCCATTAGTGTGCTGAAGTCACGTGCACCAATCAGCAAAAGTCCCGAAATGATCAGTCTCTAGTAAAGGGTCTCTAAGCGTGGTCAGCCGGGGCCCCAGACGCGACGGCACTATTTCCCGAGTCGAAATTTTTCTCCTACTTTGAACCTTAGTTTTAGTGTGTAGACTGTAACGATGACGTATGTAGACTCTAGAGATTTATAATAGGTTCTAATCTAATGAATTGAGCTTCTAAGTTAAGTCTAAGAAGTTTCCTAAACAGAAGCTGTAGATTAAGTAATATTAAAAAAAGCCCTATTTGATTGTACAAGTATCAAAACTGATTTATAAGGTTTAATTGCGGTTGGAAGAGGTTTAAAGTAGAACAAAAATTTCGACTTGGGTATCTGTCTTATAAAACGAGCAAATACCGATATGCGAGATAAAGTGCTTACATTTGAAACAAGTCGGTTGGTTCATAATTGTTTATAAATGGGTGACCGAAAGATACGTAAATAGAAAAATAGAGAAAAAAGCGAAAGAGGAAGTACTAACAAAATATATGTATATAGGTAAAATAGAAAGGTAAATAGAAAAAGAAAAGAAAACTAAGTGTAACGAATAGAAAAGAAGGATATAAAGAGGAATAAAAACTAAGGAAATAAAATAGATATGGGTAGAAGAATATATATGAAAAATTATATAGATGCCAAGAGTGGTTATAAAACTGATAAGACGCAACACACGCAGTACACAAATACGCAAAAGTAGTCGTATATTATAAAAGATACCGAAGAATAAAGGAGACGGAATAACGTTCGGAGCTAACATAAAAATATTTAAAGACTGAACGCAACGCAGAACAAAAACAAGAAAACGCAACAACGAAAGCTTGCTGCAGATGACAGCCACTATCAGGATGTAGAAAAAACTTATCACTGAATTAAGAGACACAATATTAAGTATCACTATTAAATCAGAATGTTAAAATGGACAGTGAACGTGAAAAGCAGAGAAACTGGCTAAAACGCGAGAGCGAAAACAAAGCGACGTTGTCGCGGCGACAGATTGGACCTGATTTCTATTAAATTATACTCAGCATAATGATGATCCGTTATAACGCGATGTAATTATAACAAATTTTCGTGTTATAATTACATCGCGTTATAACGGATCATCGTTATGCTGAGTACAATTTAAATGACTGATTTCTTGTTTGGGTATCCAGCTAAATACAACAGACGATAATGAAGTTCTTAATTTGGACAACAGCCCAGTGATGATTTATTGATAACATCTACTTTATTGCGTTACAATACATCAATTTTGATTCCGATGAATAATTGTTACACTGAAGATGACCTAATCCTAAGGTCGAAACGTTTGTAATTGATGATTGACATATAGGTACACATTATTTTTTTTTCACACGTACAACTGTGTCGGCCCTTAGTGGCTTTATAATTTAGCGAATTATAATTTACACAAAAGTAATCCTGTTATTTCCAATTATAGTAAATAAAAAATAGTTATTCAATATAAGCAAAAATTAATACTTTTGCTCATATTGACGACTTATTTTTCATAAAATTAATCTATTTCGAAATTTATGGTTATACTTTGGAAAAATGACAGATAAACTTATTAACCTAACATTGTCATAAAAAAATAAAAATATTTAACTAAAATGATTATTTTTACCGACTTTATTTTTCATATTATATAATTATAAAGAACGTTGTAAATAACAATTCAAAAGTCTTCCTGAAGAATTATTATCTCCCCAATATCTCCTAAGAACAATCTATTTAGTCTATTAAATCCATTTACAATGACAATAATTAGAAAATCATCTAGTACTAAAAAAACCAGCCTATTTGCTTGCATGACTTTTTAAAACATTCCAGAGGAAACTATTATTAGTTCCCGTATCCTTGAATTTTCAGATTAAACTTTTTTTATTATCTTTCCTCAATTTTTAAATTCTCGATGTAGGAGAGCTCACCATGACAGGATAATTTTTAGTTTATATATTGTATGTTAGTTTGTGTTTGCTCTGAGGAAGGCTCAAAAGTGAGTCGAAACATGTAAGCGCGTTTGTTGAATAAAGAAGTTTTAAGCTTCATAGGTGTATTATTTGCGCGACGTCTTCTGTGCCTGACTCCTAACGCCCTTATTGTTTCCAATTCTTTGATTTATGAGGAGTTTTGGTTAGTTTGATTTGTTATACGGAACTATTTTTTATTTACTATAACTGGAAATAACACAGGATTACCTGGATTTTTGTGTAAATTATAATCCATCCGTCAAAATAAGATAGTACAAGTACACAATCGATAATATAGAAAATGATACCGCACAATAGTGACTAATTTTTATTTTTATTACGTTTATGTAATAATTGTTATTTCCCAATGAGACTGTTTTCGTAAATTTTCCCAAATTGGTCCCAAACTTTTGCAATAAAAAAAAACGAGAAATGTTACATATTTCTACTAACTATAGGCTCGATTAATTTTCCTTGATTATGAATAAATTATTATTTCCTAAATTATGAGATTGTTTTCCTAAATTTTCCCAAACTATTCCCAAATTATTCCAATTAAAAAAAAAAAGAAATCTTAAACTTATCTGCTAAATATACGACGGTCCCTTAATGGCAGTGTTTAACGTAGTGAAATTGATTAGATATTAGAAAAAGTGCAGCGCGCTGTGATCTATGTGGATGAAAATGAGTGAGTGCAACTTTAACTCTCAACGCGTTAATGCGAACTCTCTATAGCTCGGATGATTAAAGCGACAATTACACTGTAAGTAATGATTTCTATATAATAAAATGATTTAGAGTGATTGTTTGCGTAAACTTCCTCGCCGTTAATGCGAGTTTTACAAAGTTAAGTGTAAAAGTTCTGGTATGAAAATCAAGTTGTATTTAAAGTTCATCGAGGAAGTTTGCGCGAGACTTATAAGTTGAGTTATTGCGCGGAGGTTAGTTCATCCTGTGATTTCAGTGAATTGTCATCTGAAAACAGAACGAGTTTTACCAACGGTCTCGTGAATTTCGAGGAGGCTGTCCTAACTGTAACAACACGCACGCGTCCGTCATGGTCGGGATGTAGGGCGTTAATGCGTGCCATTGGCCACTTGGAGGGTTGTAAGACTTTGTTTCTAAGGAGGCACGATTGTCCGATCTGTGGTTCCGAGATGACCTGTCGCCACTTGGATCTGTCGGACAGGCTAAGTACATACTCCTTGGCCCATCGATCTCAGAAATGGTTCCGCATTTGATGGATGTGTTTCCAGAGTAAGGTATGATGGGTTGACGCATCCGCTAGTGAAAGTTCAGGGACCGCCAGGAGGGAAGATCCAACAAGGAAATGCCCTGGTATCAGTGCTGCCAGGTGCTCGGGGTCGTCGTTCATAAGTCGAAGTAGCCGTGAATTGGGGCACGCTTCTACTTGAGGAAATGTGAAGGTAGCGTCTCCGATGTGACTCGCCTCAAGTGGTGCTTGAGTGACTTGACCGCTGCCTCCCACAATCCCCTAAAGTGCGGTGCTGTTGGTGGATCGAAACGCCATTGGATTCGATCCTCTGCCAGGGCCCGGCCAATGCGTTGTGCCTCAGTGCTCTCTGCCTGAAACACATTCCGAAGTGCGGTGTCGGCATCGACAAAGTTGGTGCCGCAATCTAAATATCTCACCTGGCACACGCCTTGTCGCGAGATGAATTGACGAAGAAGCCAGGAAGGCATCAGTTGTGTAATCCGACACCACTTCGAGATGCACAGCTCTTGTGCTGCGGCATACAAAAACGGCTGTAAGCTTTGTGTTTTGTGACCTCGACCATGAAAAATCTGCAGCATCACAGGTCCAGCATAATCCACTCCACTGTGCAAGAACGGTCGTGAGGGGGTCACAGGAGGTTCCGGGAAATCGCCCATGACTTGTTGAGGTGTCGTCAATCGTCATCGCACACATCGTCGACATAGATGAATGTGGTTCTTCACCGGTGCCCGCCCGCACAGCACTCAGAATCTCTGTCTGAGCAGAGCAAGTGTCTGTTGCACGTCTTCGTGGAGCGTCCGTGAACGGGAGGAGTCGATGATGAACCTAGTGAATGTTGAATCCTTGGGCAGAATAATCGGGTGTTTCTCGTCATACGCCAGTAGTGCATGTTTTATCCGGCCTCCCACCCGAAGAATGCTCTGCTGATCCATGAAAGGGCTTAATTTGGTGAGTGAGCTTTTGTTGAACAGCGGTCTGTTCCACGAAATTACTTGTATCTCCTTGCAAGCTAAGTGGCTTCTTACACTATTCGGGTCTATGCCAAGAGCGCCAAGCCCACCTCCTCTGTCGTCAGCATTCTCGGGTCCTCTGATATCGCACCACGATTGCCAGGTTGAGCATGTCGCTAACGGCGCCACCAAGCGGATATTCATAGGAGTCTTTGTAGAGACGAGTATTTTTTCGAGAGGTCTATTCCCTCATCCGGCGAGCAAATCACCGCGGCGTGCTTCTTCGCTCCGGAAGTTCCTGGTCCGGCAAGGATACTGCCCTGAATTACCTGACAACCATGGAAGCTCCCGCCACCACAGATCGTGTCGTGCAAGGTCGCCAGAAGATAGTCGGCGTGACGCGCAATCCGTTATCTCGACTCGAGACGTGATGCCAACGTGCATTAGGAAGAGCCGTCTGGATCTCCGCTACTCAATTGGCCACGAATATCTTCCACCGCGAAGGATGACCCCGTATCCATCTTAAGGCCACCATAGAGCCCGTCCACAGGCATAGGCTCCTTAGACAGGCCCAAGACGTCACCAGTGTGAACCGTCAGACGCGTGAGGAGAATAGCAGCGCATAATTCCAGCCGAAGCAGAGACACCTGTTTCAACGGTGCCACCTTTGTCTTGGCGATCACCAGTCTCACGCGCCACTCATTCTTTTCCCTTTTTCGCAGGTACACCGCTACGCCGTATGCCCTTTCGGAGGCATCTGCGAACCCATGAATCTCCAGAACGTCGGGCCCGGAATATGTCAGCTAGCGAGGCATTTTAATGTCTTCCACGTGAGGAAGGTCGTCCAGGAATTCTCTCCACCTGTCTACATCCACGTCGCTCACTGAGGTGTCCCATTCTAGTCCCTGCAGCTAGATGCACTGGATGAAGATTTTTGCTCGCACGACCACTGGGGCTAACCAGCTCAGTGGGTCGAAAAGGTGCGCCGCTTGAGACACAATTAGTCTCTTTGTGACGACTATACTCAAATGGACGGCTCGAGAAAGAGAAGCAATCATCGGAGGGATGCCACTGCAACCCCAGCGCAGAATGACCCTCGCCTTGTCCCCAGGCTGAAGGGTCGGCTGAGCGCGATCTTTTTCTGGTATGTCGATGAGTAAAGCTTCGCGTTATCGACGGCCTATTTCTTCAACGGAAAGCCGCACATTCCCAGGAGTTGGCGTTGAAGCGACCCTCCTCCAAAGTTGCCGCCCCAGTGAGAATATCATCCATGTATACATCCTGTCGCAATGCCACGGAATCCTTGGGATAACGGAGACCCTCGTCCTCGGCAAGTTGTCGCACGGTGCAGATGGTTAGGTAAGGAGCACAGGCCAGCCCATATATGACCGTGTTCAACTGGTATTCCTGGATTGATTTATTTTTTCCAGGCCTTTATACGATCCGCTGCAAGTCACGGTTATCTGGATGCACAAAATCTGTCGATACATTTTTTCAAGGTCTGGCACGAAGACGTATCTGTGCCAGCGCCATCGCAGCGGCACATCGGCAAATTGCGGTAACAAATTCAGGCCCGTCAGTAAGTGCGTGTTCAATAAAGTCCCATCCTTGATGGTGAGTGAGCCGTTGGAGACCACACGCAGCTTAGTCGTGTATTGATTTTCAGGACTTCGTGATGTGGCAGGTTACACACCCTCTTCCTCTGGTCCGCGTGATCCACGCGGATCATGTGTTGCAGATCTTCATACTACTGCATGAAGTTGGCGTATAATTCGTGAAATAGTGGATCTTTCTCGGACCGGCTCTCCATGCGTTCTAGCATGCGAAATGCTGCCTTTCGCGTCGTCAGAAGATTCGGCAGCGTCACCTTGACTCGAAGTCGAACTATGTATCGCCCGTCTATAGTACGCATGTGCGTGTGTTTGAACAGCTCTTCACACTTCTATTCGTCCGACGTTAATGAGATTGGAGGTTGATTAATTCCTTTTTGTTCTCAGAATCGTCATATCATGGAGGCTAACGGGTCGCTCAGAGTGCACTGATGCAGGCGAACAGTCAAATGGGATGACACTTCGTCCATCGTACTCGAAACAATCCACCCAAACAAAGTCCACTGGGCTATCGGCTCGCGGATTCTTTTCTTGATGCCAGGACCGATGATGGCAGCGTTGACATCAGCACTCAGAAGAAGGTCAATGTTGTCAGAAGCGCAGAATTCCGGGTTAACCAGCTCAAGTCCTTACAGGTGCGACCACTCTCGTAACGCAGTGGTCGAAATACGGTGAGACGAGGTAGGACGATAGCCGACACTTCAAGGGTATGTTGCCCGGTATGCGATGAAATTGAAAGTGACACCTGTCTGCGCGCGACCGCCGCTTATTGGACTCCCAATAAATAAATAAGATAAACAAATACAAAAAAAATTAAAAAAAATAGAAAATATTTCAAAATAGTCTGAAATAAAATATTACATTATATTATACAGGGTGTCAGGCAAAAACCGCAAAATGGTTCGTTGCGTGGATAGAACAGACAATACTAAGTCGAAAAGTCCTGTACCATTTTGCGGTGTCAGCAATAGTTAACGAGATATTAACTTTTAAAGATAGCCGAATACGCGCACCCATCCGGCCTCTACTACTGCGAAGTGTATACGCCTACCGATCGCTTGTCGCGCTGGTCGTAGGAAGCGGGGACTGCCTGGCAAGAGCCCCGCGCCGCGCACATCGTCGCGAGTCTTCATAGCTCGGACGGCTTGCCAGGCTATCCCCGCTCCCCACGGCCCGCACGCCAAGCGATCGGTAGGCGTATACACTTCGCAGTAGTAGGCCGGGCGGGCGCGCTTATTCGGCTATCTTTAAGGATTAACATCTCGTTAACCATTGGGGAAACTTGCAAAATGGTACAAGACTTTTCGACTGAGTTTAGTCTGTTTTATCCACGCACGAAACATTTTGCGGTTTTTGCCTGACCCTGTATAGATATGATATATGTGTGTATATATACATACACATAATCAAAACAAAGTAAAATTCTTACCTTACATAGTCCGCATCTGAAACAGAATTATAAGAAAACATATTAGATACGGACATCCTGTATATACAGAGTGAGTAAAAAGTCATGGACCGGTGAAGAATCTCGAAAACTAAACATTTCCAAAAAAAATGTTTCCTACAAAAGTTGTAGGGTTTTAAATGATCTATTCACTGATCTGGTCAGTCTGATCTTGAGTGGCGTCACCAAGATCAGATCAAGGTCACGTCAATTTTTTAATGGCACACCCTATTTTTAATTCCAGAACCTAATAGCTGATATCAAGAGCTTTTCAAAACACTACAATAATTATAATTATAATTAAAAATAAATAATTATTTATTTTTCATAAAGTATTTTCAAGTTATAAAGCTTGAAGGTTACAGTACCGCCGGCATTAGCATTACGCAAGGTGTTCGACTGACAGTTAAAACTTTTTGAATATTGTTCAAGATCATGTTCTGGATAACATTTGTTAAGGTCAAGGTCATTAGAAATTGTTTCTTATTTTTATTTTTATATATTGAATTTTATATATATATATATGTATATATATAAAATAGAAATGAATTTTCAGTAAAATAAAAATAAGAGAAACATTTTCCAAAATAATAATGTAATCTTCTTACGGAGTCTCCCAAATTCAACAAAAAACTCCAAAACCAGGGCGAATGAGAGTCAGCATGGTAATTAATACGCAATCTTAATTCTTCAATCCAAATTAGAATCTTTATTCCAAAAATAGTATATTTCAGTTCACTTTGGAACCATCTTCAGCAAGCAAATTTAAAATATCAATCACTTCATGTCAAAGAAAAACCATAAGATTAGCAGATTTGATGTTATAATCCAAAGACATACAAGGAATTCGTCTCAACATTGGATCAACTAAATACAATTAATATTCACCAAAAAGTATCAAATTAAAAACACATGTTGAAATCTTACTTTTCCCATATAAACCCTTCCGTCCACTACGGGGGTCTTTTTCGACCCAAGCGAAATTTCAGTGTTGTAACTTTTGAAAACGGGCACTGAAGGCGCCATATCCCCTCCCTGATTGTTACTCGCTTATGACTCACTAAAATAAAGTTACTTTGATAATCTAAAATATTGTGTAATGATTTTTGTGTAATAATTTTTATCGAAATATTATGATTGGGACTTCAAGTTGAAGGTTGAAAGAAGTTCCATGAATTTTTTCAGATTTTTTAAAGCACTTTTACTGGTCCAAAAAACGCCAAGACGATAACGACCCCCGTAGTGGACTGAAAGGTGCCGAAAAAACGTAGTGGACGGAAGGGTAAATATATAAATGTATCACTAGTAATATGTAAATTGTTTATAATAATTTCACTGTATTCAGTAGGTGTTAAGTACAAGTCAAAATGCATTGAAATCAACGAGAAGTTTCTTTTTATCGGATCCCCTCTTTGAAAATATACTTTAGCCGTGTTCCAAAATTTACTGCCAGTACTGAAAATCTATAGTGCATGTGACGTAAATTATAAATTTTCAATACTGGCAGTAAATTTTGGAACACAGCCTTTATATACATGCGAAACAAGAAAGAACTCACGCACCAAACATTGTATCCTTTTCTATGAGATCTATATATCCTCACTTCTCAAATGCTCGATTTAGAAATAATGTCTATGGTCGAATTAGTA